AAAAAAAAAAAAAAAAAAAAAAAAAAAACTAGACTTTTATGAAGATCCCCAAGCATTAGATTAATGCACAATAATGCTGATTAATAATTATGATTATTATCATCTTCATCTCTAGCTGGCATTATCTGTTCATTTGTTGACCCTAAAGATTATTTATCTATGCATTACTTTTCTCATAAAAATATCATTTGATTGAATATTTTCAACATGTTTACGTGTAACAAATTAAATTTGTTTTTTAATCTAATTAAAAAAAGATCATTGATTAAAAAAGAAGAAGAAAGATTAAATTTATTTTTAAAGTTCAGTTAAAAAATAGATGATTCATGAGAAAGACAAAAATAAGATAATTTCCTTCGTTTTCTTAAGATGTTCAACAAACATGTCTTAAGGTGTTCAACAAACATTTGAGTTTTGAGTTTTGAGTTTTGTCTTTAATACGTACAACTTTCTACCTCGTGTTGTCAACATTGATCATTAGTTTCCAGAAGAACAGGAATTTTGCCAGTTTTAGAAACTTCAGGAAAGTTATGAAACTTGATATGGATTTTCTAACATGATCATAATTCATAGACATCTAGCATTCTTTTACACATTGGTGTTCATTAAAACATATGAATATACTAGGATAAGGAAATAAAAGCTGGATAACAAGAGATTAAAGTCTTACTTACATGAACATGATCATAATAAACATAATCGTTCAGCAGTCCTTTACACATTGATGCAATGATGCTCACTAAAAACACATGGATAATAAACAGTGATGGTAAAAGCTGGATAACAAGAGATCAAAGTCTTATATACTGTCTGACAAAGTCTTCAAACATCAGTCCTGTTTATGGATATCATGCAAATATGCTCAAGGGACCAGTCTTGTTCGGTCCATCCAGTCCATTTTCGGTGTTTCTGATCCCTGTGAGCCATGACCTGCAAAATTCACTCAAGGGGTATTATTTTTCAGTTTGACAAATTCAACAGTTATAAACACTGGTGGCTTTTTGAGGGTCATAGTTTGAAGCTTGTTAATTTGAAGCAAATGATAACAATGGCAAATTGAGGAAGTTTTTGACTAACCTTCCAATGCTCTCATTGCTGGAACTGATCCTTATTGTCAATCTTTTAGCCGTTCTCATAAAATCACTACAACACCAACAAAGGGAGAAAGGGAAGACCAAGTAAAAATATGCTCAAAGATGAGAGTGCAATTGAAGTTGGAGATTTAGATGTGTAAAGAATTTCTCAATGCATGATTTACAGTTTTTTTTAATCTCAAATACCTGAATGGTTCATCTCCAGTTCGTTTGAGAGCACCAGTAGCATCTCGATAGAGCACATGGCTCAACATCTCTGATCTTTCTAGTCCAAACATGTTGGCCAACCTCCTGTATAGCTCTTCATAGGAACTGAGAACTGAGAGGTCAAGCGTTCGCCCTACATCCTCTGATTCCATGAATACCTTGCAATGACCAGTATCCAGGCCAGATTCTGATGTTAAATAATCCTGGTTCCATAAAAAACCAGGTCCAGATGACTTTTCTGCTGGAAATTGAAGGTCTAGGGCAGTTCCCAACCTGCAAGAAAAATCTTTACTTTTGTCTGGATTCCCTACCGATGAACTCTTCCCATTAACAACCTGTGAAACAGCTTCACTTGAACAGCTTCGAGAGATTTGCTGCTCAGTTAGTATTGGTTGACCAAAAAGTAAAAACTGGTGCTTTTTCATGTTATCAGATTTCTCCTTTGGACCAGAATTCCCAATTGTTAGCAAGCAAGATAAATTCTCACTGCTGTTCATGTTACTTGGCATGACACCTTCTGAAATTCTAGGCTGAGAATCAAACCGTTGGAAACTGGACAGCAACAACCCTGACTGCAGTTTGTTGTTAAGACGGAGATCTGATAAAGATATTCCAAATTGAGCATGCCTGGCTCCCTGTATGCCTGCAGAAGCAGCGTTATCAGATAAATAACGCAAAGGGCTGCTGGGTCTTAAGGGGTTGCCTGAAAATGACGGCATTAGAAATTGGCCGTCTAGTGGAAAGTCCAACTGTTGTGGGAACCGCAACTTCTTTCTTGGTGGCGAGAAGGGTGACAAGTGGATGACAGGCATATTTGATACCAATTCAACCAGCCACGGGCTCACACGCTTAACATTTTGTAACAGATCTGGTTCATCCCATGAAACCTGCAATGATTTTATAAAGTAAGATGAAAAGAAATTCTAAAAGCAGGAACCAAAAATGCTTAGCCTTCTTGAAACTAATATGATATTGAAGTCAAGAAATTTTAATGGATGGTCATAGAATTATGAAACCTCATATAAAGATGATTGGATACAGGCATGCAGACCAAGCAATTCTAACGAGTTGTTCACCACATACAATAATTTGTACAAACATTTATAAATGTTGCATGTCAGATATCTGTTTCTAAGAGTATTTCACCTTATAATCGTTGGGCATATTGAATTATTCCTGTCAGGAGGAGTAAATGCAATGAGATAAAAATTTTGGTCCCATTGCAACAAGGAAAACAAAGGGACAAATCGATGACCAATGAACTACAGGACAAATTGAACTATTTCAGTTAACATGAGTAAAGGCAATGAGATATGTTCTCAGTACCCAAATCAAGCCATTTATTGGCACCAAGGACTAGCAAATGAAAACACAGGTGGGATTTGATACAGACTGGATTTACCAATGCAAAAAACCCCCCACTTCAAATGCAACAGGATTATTGAGTGTTTATACAGAATGATGCAGAGATTTCTAAGAAACACAGATTAATACCAGCAAATTAACATTCTAAATCTAACTCTCAAATTAATTCATCACATATCAGGGAGAAATATGGAACCTGGAGAAGCCGCCATGGTGAATTAGGCCAGCGGATGGGATCGGCAACTTGAACAGAAGATACAGTCCCCATAAACCAGCTAATCCTTGAAGAATCTTCAGTCTCAAATGGCATCTTGAACCTCATCCCGGAACACCAATTGATCTTCATTGCCGCCCTCACTGCAGAGGCCTTGATGCAGAACTCTGGTGTACAGGCTCTAGGGTAATAAACCACCTCAAATGGCTGTCCCTTAGCAGCCAGAGCCACCGCCTCCAGAACAGCCTCCGGCCTCACTTTACCCTTTGCTCTCGAGTTTCCGGCGCAACCCAGATTCCCATTCCTCATAATTTTGCAATCTTCCTCTCGCAAGAAAGCAGAAAAGCTCCCGTAGGGGTTAGCACAATTTCCACTTCCATGGCCGGAATTCCATCCAGGAGTTCCACACTCCGGCCCATTCCCAATCCCACGCTTTGCTCGCCGAATTCCTACACAGAGTTCCCCGTTTTCGGCTCTCAGGAACACAATCGAGTCTCCGGCGACAAGCTTCTTCTGGTTGACAAACGTACTCCACCCCGTCGTCAACAGGTGTCGCCTCGGCGTCCCTCTGTAAATATGCCGGAACTTCCAAATCTCGCCGTGAACATCCTTCGCGATGACTGTCTGAACCGGAGGGTCCGCGGTGTAATCCAGTCTCGGAAAAATCGTCTCCGCGCAGTATCTGGGAACGGAAAAACCACCGCCATTGTTAGCATCGGACTGGGTCAGTGTCTTAGCAAAAGAAGCGGGCTTTTCGGCATTATCCGACCCATGACCGGAACCCAAAACGACATCATCTTCGAGATCAAGCTCACTGCTCGGTAATGGCACCAACGTGATCTTAGCATACACTTCATCCGTCTCAGTATCGGCCAAGAACTTGACGGCGGCCACTCTGCTGAAAATAATACCAGGGATTGGCGGCGAAGACGAGAAATCCACGGCGGAGAGGCAGTGCTCGGCGTGTCCCTGAGGAAAGTAGAAGACTTTAGAGTTCACCGCCGGGATTTGAACCATGGATCCAGCACAGGCATGCCATAGCTGCGGATCCAAGCTCTTATCTGGCTCCTTCATTTGCTACGTTTCTGTTTGTCTCCCGAGAAAATTTAAAAAAAGAAAAAAGAAGAAAGAAAACAGAATTCGTAAAAAGACGGCCTTTGAAGATCTTGAAGCTCTGAGTTAATGCAGAAAATCAAAGCTGCGAATTAGAAAGAACAAAATTGAACCCAGTTCATTAAATTCTTAGAAATTATTACTGATAAAAGTTACTAAATGAACTACAGAAGAATCCAAATCTTATGGTACCTTTTTCTTAGCCGCAAACAAGAAGAAAACGCAACCACCCCTAAATGTGAATAAATGATTCCGTAGGATTCTTTAACACACCTCAAAAAACCTCCCCCTAAACCCCCCAATAGGCTAAGGTGCTACCTCTGTTTCTCCCTTTCATAATCAAAAACAATTCTTGGTCTTTTTTTCACAGATTCTTCCACACAGATTCAATGATTTTCACTGTACTACTCTCTACAAACTCTAAAATTCAGAGAATTTCAAGATGGGTATGGTTTATTTCTTAGATACACAGCATACCCACTCAAAATCTCTGCTCCTTAGTTCGAAATTTGAAGATGGGTTTTGGTTTAATTGTCATGCAGAGAAGAAAGAAAAAGAGAGAAGGAAGAACATTTATTAATCGGAGATATGAAATCAGATACGGAGACGACCACCGAAAATCATATCTCTAATCTCCCCGATCTTCTCTCTAAAAACCTGATCTTTTTGTTCTTATTCTTATCTTTCCCTCTCTCTCTCTCTCTC